CTCACAGGTAATAAGTTAAATATGTCAATCAATGCCACATCATGCCAGTAGGGCTAAATATAGGTAACGTGAAAAGAGAGCACTGTTTAAAAAATGAAAAAAAAATGAAAAAGAAAAAAAGAAGTGTTTGAAAAGAAAAAGTTATATAGTGTACCTTTTAACATGACAAAAAAGCAAGTAAATAAAATGGTCAAATAATGCAATCACATTAATTCAGTACATGCTGAGAAGAAGGAGAATGAAAAATAAAAATAAAAAACTTCCAGTATACGACTATTTTAAAAAACAGCATTAATCCAACTCACCTGCATTGTTCATTGGTTCGACATTTTCCTAAAAAAAAAAAAAAAGACTATAAAATGGTCACACTTTATATTAGGTGTCATCAATACTTATTGTGTCCATGTTTTATTGCAAAACTCTTATGCTGCTATTGAGGTGGCATATACGGGGAAGGTTAAGGACAGGTTTGGTGGTAGGGGTAGGTTTAAGGGTGTGTTAAGGTGTAAGGGACGGGTCAACAGTGTAATTATAGATGTCATTACAGAAATTAATTACATATGTAATTATATGCAGGCATTTTTAATGTCAAATCATGTATACAAAAAGTGCATTGTATCTAATGATTCATTTAAATGTAAGTACATAGTAGTTAAAGACAACTAATATGAAGTGGGACCAAAATATTTTTTCATTTCTAGATATGGCAGAGATGGGTTAAATTTTATGATAAACACACAGTGAAAGAGTCAGGGAATGATCACAGGGTAATTTCTGTCCTTTTAAATCATCGCATGACATCACACAGATCCGTCTCTGGTCCCCTAAACTCTTTACAGATGGCCACGACTGGAAACTGAAACTCTGTCTCACAGCATAAACAGAAAGGACCGCTCTGTGACGGACACAAATGTGGGAGAGTCAAAACGTGGGATTTGAAACCATTACATCTGCCTGCTTTGACAGTTTTGACCCCTAATCATCCCCATATTGACCTCAACCTTCCTTGAGGTCAACCATCAATTGGCTGTTTGTCTTTTTGACCCGTTCCCTGACTGATTAAGGGAAGTGCATTTTTATTGATGGCTAAAAGTCACAGCGAGGCCACAATGTGCACTTGCTGTTCCTGCGCTGATTCCTACTTAATTGCCTATAAGTTATACACGGCCGTCAAACGCATATACAGCCTGATCTGTTCTATCTTCCCAAGACACATAGCAATAGAGCAAAACTTCCTGTTTCCCTTACATGGTCTGAAATGTCAAACTTGATCTAATGTGAGAATTTATCTGGCTCACAAAATAAATAGCTCTTCATATTGGACTGTACAGCCATAGTTTTGTTAAATATATCATAAGGAAACATGAAAAAGAGCGGTGTAAAAATAATAATAAACAAATTAAGGTTTGCAAGTGCATACAAAATGAAGACAGCTGTTCACACGACTTTTTGTTCAGATGAATGAATTTACTTAATTAGTTTCAGGAAATGTCTTGACTGAATTAAAAATGTTAGGTTGTAAAATATTACCATCATTACCATCAAAATACTACCATCATTGTAAAATATGTAAGATAAAGCTGTATTCATTTTCATTGCAAATTTGTTGTTTTATTCACATGGTTTTAAAATGTTCAATTATATGAGATTCATCTGCTTTCTAATAGAATGGAGACCCAAATCCTCCTTTTTTATCTTTCTCATCCAAAAGAAAGCTATTTTATGCTATAACACAAAATGAATCCTTCAATATTCTCTCTCTCTCTCTCTCTCTCTCTCTCTCTCTCTCTCTCTCTCTCTCTCTCTCTCTCTCTCTCTCTCTCTCTCTCTCTCTCTCTCTCTCTCTCTCTCTCTTTCTTCTCTCTCTCTCTCTCTCTCTCTCTCTCTCTCTCTCTCTCTCTCTCTCTCTCTCTCTCTCAAATCATTCCATATGATTCATATGTATCTATATTATATCTAAAATAAACTTTATCTGTCTAGTTTTAGATAGCCAAGCTGAACTTGTTCCCAAAGTGTTGGGTGATGTTACTTGCGCAAATTACTCCATTTAGGACATTCATGGTTAATATTACTCAATCCTGCAATAAATGTGCTTTTATTAATGGAGAGGACTAGGTTGTATCTCATAAAAACATATTTATTCTGAATTCATTCATTCAGATGTAGGAATGTTTTGACTCTACAGTTTCACTCAACACATCTGAACAATAAAGTGCAAGTTTATTCTGCTTATAGGTATGGCACACAGTCTAACACTGCCATTCTCGCTCTGAAGTTTGAAAATATAAAACTACAAATTCAGGCTCCTTGTTTTTTGGGTCATGGTGGACGTTCCTCACAGGCTTTTCTTGTAATAGGAATATGGTCAGGTCTGTGCCAAAGACTCTTCCATCTTAATTTAAAACAAGCTCATGTTCACTTGCCCTGCCATATGGAGCCCACGCATCAGTCTGTCTTCTCAAAGTCTACATTTATCCTTTCCTGAGGTGTTTCTCCTTTAAAGTGCACAAATAATTCCAGATGGATCAAAGATGTGAGTCTGCCTTTAAAAAGCTGCTGTAAAGTGATAGTGATTGTTTGGTTGCCCTGTGTAGGGCAATTAACGGTGCTTGACTTTTTAACTAAATACAGTTGAGGAATGGTTGGGGGGCCAGAAGCATATTTGTCCTCTGCGTGTTAACATACAGACCCAGATTTAAAAAAAGCTCAGAGAGAGCAGAAGAAAAAAGAGAGAGACTAGAGAGAATTAAGGTGGCCGTTAGCGGCAAGTCTTTATTTATGGTTTTCTGTCTGGATGAAGTGTTATGTCATGGCAATGGGCCAAACGCATCGAATCTGTCAAAGATGGCTGCCAATTTAAATGAATTAATGGGTGATATTTGTGAAGAATCACTCTGAGACATTTCAAAATATATGTGAAGCATTTAGATGGTGTAGTGTTTGACATATTGACATACTGTATGGAAAAGACTCAAAAGAGTGCATTTTCAAAAGTTTAGCAATTCCACATTAAATCAGACACAGATGTACATCTGTGAAAACTGATTCAATTTAAATTTATTTCAAATATAAATACAGTATATTCATTAATTCATTCAGTTACCAGAGTTGCCTTGTTTTGCAGTTTGGAAACCCTTTAAAAATCCTGCCCTACTAATAATATAGACAATTCCCTAATATTATGCCCGTGAGGAAGTAAGTACACCCGTTTGAATTCTATGGTTTTATGTATCAAGACATAATACAAAAAATCATCTGTACCTTGGCAGATCTTAAAATGAGGTAAATACAACCTCAGATGAACAACAACACACGTCAAATTGTGTCATTATTTACTTAACAAAAATAAAGCAAAAACGTGTGACAAACTAAGTATGATTGAATTGCTTATAGAGCCACCTTTAACAGCAATAACGTGTCATTAAGTAATCATTTTCTGTTTGACTTTATCAGTCTTTCACATCGTTCTGGAGAACACGATGTATAAATATTGTATTGTAACACTTCATATTGTATTCTACATTTTTTTATGCTGTGTTTAATAACATTCAAATAACAAAAAAGAGATAATTTCTGAATAATTATTATGTATTCATTTATGCATTGTGGCCAGAGTCGTCTTGTTTTTCCTGTGCAATTGGGAAACCCTCTAAATCTAAATTAATTACTGTATATCTTTAAGTGACTATATGTATATATTTTTTTTATTACACTTGACAATGTTTGACCACCAAGTGCTTCTACTTTCCAACACTGGCAGCTCAACACACTTAGGCAACCAAACCATCCACCACAAATGGAGGTCATACCCAGAATGTCTTAATGGTAATAATGGGAAATCAGAGATCAGTGTTGCAGCTGTATCAGACATGAGTTAACTCGTACTAATTTGGCAGCACATGCCAGATCACACAGATAAGCAGTTGATCCAAACAAATTACAGGGCCTCCCATAGCCCCTCAGAGCGCTTACTCCTGCCACAATCATGGGTGCTTCTGGCAATAAACCAAAAGTGAAACTCAATACAACTGTTTGACATTTCCTTTTCTCTGTGGATTTCATGCTTTTTATCACCAAGCATGCTCTTTCATTAACCTCTGACCTCTCTACCACTAGGAGTGCAGGATGGCTCAGTGAATGTGAAGAGGGTAATTGGAGCAAGAAGAGGAGGATAAACAAAATTAGCCGTTGACTCCAATAGTCTGATGTATAGCTTTCCTGGAGGACGACTAAAAACCAAACACTTTTCGTACAATATTTTAACACTTTTTATGAAATATTTATACAAAACAATACAGTTTAACTTGTTTAATCCATAGCCTTTAAATTTGTCCTAAAACGGAAGTAGACACATAAGAGAAGTCACTGCAAGAGGGAGAGGAAGTTATTTTAATTAAAGATTATGAGGGCACATGAATTAACATAAAATGTGTACATAAATCATTAAATACTGCAATATTCCATAATAAACAAGAATTTTGGTTTCATGGTGACTTTAATGTTGTTATTCTATTTAAAACTTATAACAAACCATGTCACTGTTTACTATGAAATAATATACAAGCATTAATTCACATTATTTTACATACAATAAAGTCAGGCAAAACTATTTAAAGTAGTCAAGTAAATGTCATAATTATTAATAGCCTACTGGCCACTTTTTATGTTTGCTTATTGTTTCTGAATACTGTATTTAAATAATTAGATACAATCGAATGCAGGGGTTATTTACATTACAATTAAGCACACGGAAGGAACAGGTTTATTTTGATATGTGCCTGGAGAAATTGTAAATGTAAGCCACCTAAATCTATTTCCTGTAATTAAAAATAATACATAATACAAAAGTTACAAAAAAAATTAAAAAGTTGTTTTTTATTCGCAACATTATACTAAAATAAATATACGTTTCCAAAAACAAACAGGCAAATTCCGAGGGCACACGCAAAAGGGGGCCTTTCTAGGGTCTTGAACGTGGCAGTCAGTCAGTATACACAAACATGGCGGCCAGATGAGAGCGTAATGTTAACTTTTGTATGTGTATGTTGAAAAATAACATTTTAACCCACGTATATTTGTCTTTGATAAAACCGGTTAGCAAGTAAATTTACTGGGTACTGAAAATGGCTGCGTGGGCTGGATTTTCAGAGGAAGAACTACAAAGATTGCAGCACAGCGGCGATCTCAGTGAGTAAAAATGTTGAAAACTTCACTCGATTCACTTCACTTATTTGATTAAATACAGAAAATGTGCCGTGTATCAAAACATATATGTCAATCGGCAGTCCGCTAGTTTTTGGAACGCAGTACCTAACTTTAATTGTTTGGTGGATCCTGATAAAACTGCTCTAATCTTCTTTACCCAGTAAACCAGGCTGTGCCGGTCACATTGGGTCGTGGCCGCAGACCCGCTCCGACTAACCGGAGCAGACAGCAGCTTCAGCGGGAGAGGGCTCTGCAGCTGACAGCCAAGCAGAAGGAGAGCAGCCAGTCTCTTTCACCTGACCAACTGCTGACCAAGCCCCCAGACCCACCTGTCGTCAGTCATCCTGCTCCTGTAAAATCACAGGACGAGTCCAAGCCGGAGTCGCAGAATGAGGCAGAACCTGTTGACCGAGAATCACCTGTGGAGTCTGTACCACCAGCAGTCTTCAAGGAGCTGGACAGACAGGAAGTGGAATTGTTAGTAAGTCTAGTTCCTTTGCAAAACACTAGTTCAGATATGAATATGTAAAGATATGTTGTACTATATTTCATAGGGATTACATATTGTTTTATTTCTATACAAGAACATGTTTGGATTATATCTCACACCAAAATTAGAAGAAACATGTATTCTGTATAACGAAAATATGTATTAATGTATGCATGTATTTACATTGCCATGTTTTTTTTTTTATGTGGAATTGGTCACCTTTTATATTATCCAATATAAAAATAGCCTGTCCTAATAGTGTATATATTTCAATGCCTTTATATATTCATAACTCAAATCTTTTACTGGTTAAATGAATATAACATCGACTGAATCTGTATGAATCATTGTGGATGATCATATGTGTTTTATTTTTATGTTGTAATGACTTCAATTGTAAGACTCCACAACTTTTCTTATAACAGCCGAGAGAAGAACCGTCTCCAACAGTTGCAGTGGGAACAACGTATAATGGAAGAGAAGAATAAACAAAGAAAAGCTCTTCTTACAAAGACCATTGCTGAAAAGTAAGAGGAAATCTTGTTTTTAACCATTATCAAAATCAATCTGTCTGGAGTATGATAACCTTACATGAAAATTCAAAGATGATATTTTAAATATTGTCCCTTCCTCTTTCCCAGGTCCAAACAGACACAGGCTGAAGCTGTGAAATTGAAGAAGATCCAGAGAGAACTTCAAGCACTGGATGATTCGGTGTCCAATGACATTGGGGTTCTCAGAAAACTGATAGAGCAGTCAAGCATGGATTATTCTCTGGCATGGTAATTATTAATTTCTGGTCCATTCCAAGTGTACTTCAAACCAAGTTCAAACCAGTAGCTTTTTTGTTGGAAGCAGCATCAGTTTGTTTGTATGCCACTTCCTCAAAATCTGCCACATTACAGAAAAAAAATCTCTAGTAATTAAATCCTTGATAAGAGTGATTAACAAAGTCTGTTAGCTTAGGATTGAAAACACTGCCCTCTGTAGCCTTACTTTATTAATTCGGCCAAATTATTACTTATAGCAGAACATTCGCATGGCTTTTTTAACCTTGTGATTCAGTTTATTTCTGGATATGTTTTCAACTATCTTATTTAAAATGAACTATCTTGTCTTTGCCAATCTCCTATCGTTGACAGGAAGCGCTTTGAGAAAGCAGAGGCTGAGTATGTTGCCGCTAAGATGGACTTGCACAGGAAGATGGAGGTGAAAGAGCAGCTGACGGAGCACCTGTGTGCAATCATCCAACAGAATGAGCTGCGCAAGGCCCGCAAACTGGAGGAGTTGATGCTTCAGTTAGAGCTTAATGCCGATGAAGTCCCCAGCCCAGAGGAAACCAATCTAGAGGACAAAGAGAGGGAGGGCAACTCCCAGCATGTTACTGAAAACGGTCCCGCAGCAGACATGGAGCGGCATACAGACGTGGATGACTCAAGTCTGAGCAAAGACTGTTCCATTACAGAACCAAAGATCAGCCAAGACAATCAGGAGAGCAAATCAACAGATGTTTCTGCAGATGGGCTAAGCTAGCTTCCAAGCATCATCTATTTAATAGTGACTGTATGACAGTTTACATAACACTTGCTACCAGGTTTATACATTTCTTCATTGTGAGATTGTTGAACAAACCAATAACCCTGCATTTGTTAGTGAAATGTTGATTTTTTTTTTTTGTAAGACGCCAAGACAACCTCATTCCATCACTACTAACACTAAAATGCCTTTTTATTCTGGCGCTCAGATATTGATTATGATCCGTTAAGCTCAGATGCAATAATAGGAGCAGTAATGAGAGTAGTTTTTGGTTTTCATTGAAGGTGCTACTTGATCTTAATGCTGCATCATTCCACGTTTTTATTATGGTTCGTCTGAATGTCAGTCATTTTGCATTTGAATCTGTCTTACATTAAGAAGACAGACTGAATCTCTTGAAAACATTGTGCATATTTAAAATCCTATAAAATACTAAATACTGATAACTTTTCTGATTGTTCCATAACTGACATTATTCAAAATGGAATAGTGGCAGATGGTCTGGTGGTAGTTTGTAGTTGTGATTTATTTTACATGATGTTGCACAAGTGAATGGTAAGATCTTTTATCTGTATATGGCAGTTGTCTCGTAAAAATTACTTTATGTGAATGTTAAATCAATAACAGCAGTTTTTTTATCATACAAAGCTGACAGTTTGTTCGGCAGAGATGAGAACAATTTTGTACTGTAGTGGAAAAACCCGATTGATGTGTGGGAAGTGGAATACCATAGCCATAGCTGTTTTTAAATGTATATGTTGTATGTATATTTTTATGCTCTTTCTAATAAACCAGGTACTCTATGCAGAGCTATTCACCAACTCTAAAGATATTAACAGTATGTTTTTTTTTTTAAACTATTCTTTTGACAATAGCTTTTACTTATTTTAAATGTATGTTTTTAATATATATATATATATATATATATATATATATATATATTGTCAATCATTTAACTATTCGTGTGCATTATAATAGGTATGAAATATGCTATGAATTCAATATTTTAATTATCCGTTGGTGAATAAAATATTTTAATAATGGTAACCTGTTTTGTTTTATTTCACATGCATAAAGGCATATTTTAAATAAACCACTGGAAATCAGTTTACATTTTTGCTCGTCTTTTGAACATTGTTTAGTGGTAATGCATTTGTTATTTGTAAAGAACGTTGAAACTGTTGATTTAATATTTGCTTATTTTATAAACTAATTTATGTCGTTTATTTGTTTTTCTTTCGCCACACATTTAAAATCTTGATAAAACATTGTCACTTTTACGCCAAGGTCTTAGAAATATTAATAATATTGGTGTTAATAACAGTAATGTATGAAATATGGTCATTCGATCCAATCACCACAATACGAAATACAATATTATGTTCTTTTTTATTCTGGTTTAACTGTATAAAACAAGGACTGACAAATCCTGGAAGTAAATACAGGAAAAGAGATTTTCGTGAAGCCCATTTTGTGAGCGCGTTTCTGATTTATGTGCGCTCAGTCCGCCGGGACAGGTTGAAAAGACTAAGTAACTCGAGAAACTCGAGGGGGGAAAAAGAAAAAAAGCACACAAGATCAACTTTTACTGAAACATTCTGCCTTTTGGAAAGTCAATGTTATCCAGTTTTGATAATGACGATTACCCTCGCGCAACATAATGAAAAATGAAAATCAATAGGCTACCTGCATGTTATCTTCGTTTTTTAATGTCAATTAAAATCATCTTCCGTCATCTTATACTGTAACCATAAAAACCTTTAACATATATACAAAATCGACCGAAAATCGTTAAGGAAATTAAGTGTAAAATGTTTACATTTTTTTATTGTACGCAGATTACAATTAGAATCAACAGAAATCTTAAAACATCTTAAAACTAAAGTGCTTATAGGCCTACGTTAATTTCGTGAACAAATGTATTTAACAGAACATTTTAACACCGAATATTACAATGGTTTATTTAGGCCTAAATCTTTTTGCTAGCCTGTATTTGTGGTTGATTTATTACAAAACGGTCTCTTTCAAGTCTTTCTAAACTGCTTTAACTAGTCGACTAAATTCCTCCTGTTAGGAGAGCATTCTGACGTGTTAAACCCGATCATGCGCGGTAGTGCTGTCCATTGACCCCTGGTGCTGATTAGACGACCGCGAGCTCAGTCCGCTTTTATTTCGCTAATTACAATTTAAGTGATTCCTTCTGTGCTCGCGCTTCATATCCTGCGCGGGAAACACACGCAGACATACACGCGCGCGCTCTGATAGTGCCAGGGGAATTCAAAAGTGCCTGTCGCTCAACTTGCCATCCAAACAGGACGACTTCTGTTGTTGGTTCAATGATAAAAACACATTTTTAAGACAATATTTTACTTAAATATATTATTATACTCCGTGCCGGTGTAATGATATAGTCAGCCGTAAATCATGCTAAATCAAAACATTGTGAATAATAATTTATCAATATTGTACAATATAATACAATGAACATAACAAATTGCCTTTTTATTATTATTTTCGTCCAACAAGATCTTGTGTCTGTTTTAATTGATGTAAATTAGCCACTTTTAAACAAACGGAACAGTTTTCAAGGGTTTTCGGTTCTGGATACAAATAGCCTGAACTGTGTGTATTGTTCTTGTTCAGGTTTATTTCGATAAATAATTAACTCCTTTTGTAATTCATGCGTTAAGCTGGATTGTTGAGTCTGTGTTTATCAGAATGTCATTATGTCAATCCACAGTTAGGCTAGCCTATGAGTCATGAGTTATGTTTTTAATTAGCCTACACACATGTACATTATAAAATCTCGTATATCTTTATATCATTATAAAATCTCTTATAGCAAAGAAATAGACCTACATATAGCCAACAAAATACATTTTAGTGATGATTTGTCCGTTGGTGTGTGTGTGTGTGTGTGTGTGTGTTTGTGTTTTAAGTTCACTCAGAGCGAAATATAATAGCCTTTCATTTCATATTCTGTCCATCTATTTACAGGGTTCCCACGGTCATGGAAAACGAATATCGGCGAGATTGTGATTTACAGGCCTGGGAAACTCTTGGAGATGAATAAAATCTTAAAACGTAAATGGTGAAAATAGAGAATACACTTTTTTTACTTTGTTTTATTTCAATCTCAGCAATCTCAAATGAGCAGATAAATCATGGACCTTCATTAGTCAAATATATTTTAAATCAAATGCAATTCGATTAAAAGTGAAACGATGCAAGAAATTTGATCCAAGCACAAATACCTAGGTGTCCAAATGATCTTTTTAGTCATTGGGACTTCTACATTTTTTTTTAGAAGTCATCACGAAACAAAAAAAAAAAAAAAAGCTTTGGCTTTTGACAGGCCCTTAACAAATGTAGCCCAATGCCTTTCATCTGAGACGTCTGTGCTTAAACGACGATGGACATGTGGCACAAGGATTTGACATTTGAATAAAAAAAACGTTTTGCTGGTTGTGGTTGAAAGGACCGGTTTTACAAACTGACTTCTATATTGCACGATCACCCCGATAGCAAGCTTTTTTTGAGAGAGAGAAGTCGCTTGTAGATGAGCTGGCAGCTGAGGGAATGTAGAGGGAAAACTAATGATGAAAAAAGGTCTACTCCATCCCAACAGCGGCTTAATTAAATACATGGAAAGAACGAAAGCAGCACATCTGGTTTCAATCCGTTTTCCTTTGATGGCATCAAGTGTTCTTTTCCCAGATCTGGGGCTGGAAGCTACGGGATATCTGTGGCAGTGAGTAGCCTATAGACTCTTGCCATTGAAACACATGGACATCTACCTTGTGAAAGACACACCAAATGGCCTGACACGACTCCCGTCCCAGCTGGAGATGTGTAGGCCTGCAGCCAAAGCATTATAGACGACAAAAAGTTTTTAACGTCAAAACATTCACTAATAAATGTGCTTAATGTTAAATTCTTATAGTGGAACTATACAAATTAAATAGACTTTATTTCTGTTGAATAAAGTAGCATAAAGGTCGACTACCATTACCAATTATATAGCCTATTTGAGTACACTGGAAAAAAGAATCTGAGTAAAGCTGAAGAAAAGGATATTTCTAGCAAATGAAAAAGAGCCTACGCAAGGAAGCAAATGAAAACGCTAAACGCATTTTTAAACCATGTCTTTCCAGGGGGAAAATACTATTGCCATAGAACGCGTTTTTTTGTTTGTTTGTATTCCATCGGGCTGCTTTTCATCGTTGTTTTTTTATGTAGCCTAAATATGCGCTAGACAGACGTCTTTGGCCGTTGCACTCATTGCACAACTTTTATAAACCCTTCTCTACATTGTCCTCGTCCCCATTGCGTTTTGAAAAGCGTTCTGTGTGAATGGTCCATGACAACCTCATTTTCATTTGCAAAAAAAAAAAAAAAAATGGTGTCACCCCTGCTCTGACTAAAGGTTTAGCAGGCTATATTCAACTAAACCATCACATTGGACGATTCCTTTGCCTTTCACTTTAAACATTGTTTATGTCAGTTTTGTTGTGCAAAATGATTACAAGTGACAGATATCAGAAATTCAAAGATTGGGGAGGGTTAACCTCCGAAGAAGGAAGCTGTGATGGAAGAGGGAGGGGTGGGTAACACTGCTAAACGTCAAAGACAGCACAAAGTCTTATGCCACGTAATTACGAGAGCCTTTCAGCTCCATCTTCTCTCCCAGGGGTCTCAATTTTTCATTTACAATCCAGTCCACTGCATGCCAGTGAGCGCGCGTTTGAAGTGCCAGAGCGTGTGGGTGTGAGTGATTAGAGGAGTAGAGGAGAGAGCCAACAGCTTCGGAGTGTCCTGCCTCCTCTCGACGCTTTACGCACATGCATCTGAAAGGCATCAGCATTTCTGGATCGGCGCTCAGTCAACAACTCCGTGGAGCTCGGGGAGTTTTTTCTTCTTCTTATTGAACCAACAGTACTTTGCAGAAAGAGACTACATGGGTGAACGGATTCAACAGACGTCGTGATCTTTACAATTAAGTTCCACAACGTTTTAGACCAGGTTGTAATTTTGCTCCACCTGGATCTGTGAGAACAACTTTCCTATAGGTAGCTAGCTATCATAGTGAGCAAAGGCAACTAAGACATCGGTTTGGAGGCGCTGTTGCTTACGAGTTTGTCTTCAAATATATGCGAGGAGGACCTGCTTGCTTAACCTAAAACACTTGCCCAGTTTTTTTTTCCTCTTGTATCGTATTTGCGTCATGACTTCTAGCTATGCACATGTAATGGACAGACAAGCAACCATATCCAGCAGACTGGAGAGTCCCATTACAGCCAACCTGGAAAACCTGCAAGCCAAAAAGAACTTCTCGGTGAGCCACCTGTTGGATCTAGAGGAGGCTAGAGAAATGGTCGGTTCTCAGGCAGATGAAAGTGTTGGAGAAACGGGCAGGACTATGCTGGAATCTCCGGGTTTAACCAGCGGCAGTGATACAACACAGCAGGAGAGTAAGTGTGTCTGCTCATGTTCCATAAGAAAAGCAAGTGTTGTTGTAGATAGGCTATATCAATACCACTGAACAGAGACAGCACAACATACAATAAACTACAGGATACTTGCATATAGCGTAAAAAATACTGTCAGATTTATTGACTATTTGATTCTGTAAATATGGTTTAGGAGCCGCACACAGCCCTATTGTCAGACTCAGACGACTCCCTTAATCACTAAATTGAATTTATGTTGACTTTTAAATCTATTATACTACACAGTTTTTCATTAGCAAATGTGTAGGTGAGGCGAATTTTCTGTCCAGAAATAATACTAGCAGAAAAAAAGGATTCCGCATGAGAAAAGTTTATGGGTCGTAAACGCATTTTGTACATAATTTATGATTGTTGACATTCCAGCCCGTAATGCATTAATGAAAATATGGCCCAGTAAACATCGACATTGACTTTTATAAGATAATTTGCTTTATATAATAATTAGAATATCTGCAAAAAATTTTTTTTTTTTTTTTTTTTTTTTTTTTTAAATAGTGGAACTGAATAATTGGTAGCTCGCTGTCATTATTTAGTTTGCTTGGTCCAAGGAACGATAAAAAGGGCGTTGGAAAAAAACAGACAAAATCCTAAATCTACATTCTGGACCTTTTCAGTTCATTTAAACACTATAATTTGTCATCATTATCCTGCATCCGGAGAACATACATATGCGATTATAGTATCAAATAGCAAACTTCCATTACTTAGGCTGTCTATTAATATCGTGTTTTCATTGTTTTGCTGCATGGCCGAAAGGGAAATATTTTTATTTTGGCCTGTTGCTATATCTTTCAAACTTAGGCTACCTATAAGGTTACAGGGGGATTATTATATCAACTTTTGTAAAAAAAAAAAAAAAAAATAGGCTATTACGGATAGGCCCTTCTTGTTTTTTTTACATTATCCTAGCCTACACTTTTGTATTTATTTTTATTGCAACAATATAAGCTAATCGCGTTGGCTTGTAAATTGCCCTTCTTAAAATGCACAATCTAAACACTTTTTTTCACAACGGTTTCTGTTGTATTTATCTCTCTCTATCCCGAAATTAAAAGTTTAATTAGGCCTAGTGAAAATGAGATAAGGTTGTCGTCATTATTGCATTGTTCGACACATAAGTTTTTCGTTTATTCCCCGGCTCTTGTAAAAACATAAATCCGTTAGTTCTCTTTAACAAATCAACATTACACACATCATTCACACAACTAGAATTTCAACCTCTGAGAATATAGCCTACGTTTATTATCATTTACTGGTTAGCACATAAATTTATGTTTTTATAAACAACATTTTAATGAAATCAGCTCCCATATGATCAAACTCCTATTGAAATGTATAATAAAACAAATGGCCATATTGTTGTCATCTTATGAGCACTGTTCCAAGATACTGAGAAATTACAAATAGCCAACAGGGAAATCAGAATAAAATGCAAGAGGTATTTGAACACAATGTAATATAGTATGTTTTGTTATAATGAATTCACTCATTCATTATTTGTTAGTGTTTTTCCTAAAACTCTTGGATTCATTTTTTAGAATCCCCATAATAAACCCATGCCCCATTAAACAGCTTGAGTTTTCATTTAAATGTAACAAACAGGAAGTTTAAATTGTAATTAAACTGACCTTTACAATCTAGTGAATCTGAAATTCTAACCAATAAAATGCTGGCATTTGACAATCTTTCCAACAGGCCTAAAGGGACTATACCCCCTGCTATGCCTAGGTCAAATGTCAAATTTCATCTTGTGATCCTTTTGGAAAATTATGATCTGGGAACTACTGTTGTCATGAAGTGCAAAAAAACACTGCAGTTTGTCTGTGCTGTCAGCTGAATGATTATCAAGTCTCATGAGAGTCTAAGTTACTTCTGTGCTTTTGGCTATAAAGTGGGGACACGGATGGGAATAGACTCTTAAAACTTGTTTCTAAATATGCCTATTTTGACATGCTCTTTTTTTTAACATCTTTTATTGTTTATTTATTGCTCGATTGTAAAAGTAACTAAACAGTGGATATTTTGCTATGCTATTGGTCAGGATAAAGAACGCCGAGCAAGGGCATTTGTCATTTTCTAAATCTCTCCTTAACTGCACACTGAAGATAAAACATGAGCGAGGACAAAAACTCAAACTTGTTAAAAAAAAGTCATATTTAAATTAGCCTTTGGTTTATGGTCTTGTCTAGGCTCATTACAAAATAGTTTTCATTAGGTATTTTGTACAGTGATGTCCATCGGTTTATTAACTCGGATGACTTCACTGGTTGCAGAGCAATTCATTTTATAGTATTAAATGTTATTTTTCAAGCCACTGTAAAACACTACAAAAGTCAATAACAGTAAATATAATTTTTTTATTGCTTTGCACAAAAAAATATCAAAGAGTTTTAACTTTTTCTTTCATATCCCTTTAATAACAATCCCAGAAAAATCTAATCTAATTTTATTTTTTACTTTTTATAATTTTAGAATAATCTTGCCATCATCTGTTATCAAAATCAACAGCATACGAGATAACATAAAAATGTCAATAATAAAATATTATATAGTGAGAACTAAACGTCTGCTGATGGGACATTTATCTAAAAGCTGCAGCACCTGAGATAACTATATCATATGTGTATGTTTTACCAGATGAGCAGCTAAACTCAGAAGAAAAGAAGAAGCGGAAACAAAGGAGGAATAGAACCACATTCAACAGCAGCCAGCTGCAGGCGCTGGAGCGAGTGTTTGAGCGGACACACTACCCAGATGCCTTTGTTAGAGAAGACCTGGCACGCAGGGTTAATCTCACCGAGGCTAGAGTTCAGGTAAACTTCACACCTCACAATCATCAACTGCAGTCCACTAGGTCCTTAATTTACTGGTTGATTAGAAAATACATGCATTTTGAGAATTTTAATTAAAAAAAAAATGTACTGAAGCTTTATGCAAATAAAGCTACTTCAAAAGTAACAAATGGTTAAAAATGAAGACTTTGCTAATTCAAGGTTTCAGCAAGGATGCCGTTACAGATAAACGTGATGGTAACACTGCAGCTTTGTGTTGTTTCTCCACTGTCATCGGCCCCATCGCCAGAGTTCGGCGTGATTGTTTAAAAAGCCCCAGCCGATCACTCTGCCTCTCAGCACACATGCTGTAGGCCGCAGCCAGTCTCCACATTCTCCTGTAATGAGACTGTTTTTGTAGAAAGATGGGGATTATTCCCGTTTATAGATCAAGAGAAGGAAGGGGAGAACGAAAGGAAAGAAATAGAACAAACACATCTGCAATTAATGTGTCCCAGAAAGGGAGCAATACAGAAATGCTTTGATAAAAGAGACTTTGAGCTCATTCCTCAGGCGCTACGTAACCGGACACTGTGCCTCCACCAGGCCTGGTGCTGCAGCCAAGGCTTCGAGATCTGGGCTCCCCGCTCTGCCTTCAACCATGTTTCACAAGCGCGTTTGCTCATTCTTCAAGCTTCTGATGTGTCCTCTGCAAAAAAGGTGTACATGTGTGGACCAGCAGATCAGGCTGAATTTCAAAAAGCGCAGCAAAATGCAGTCCTACAAAGGCAAAATATAGTTACGCCAACGCGGAGACCGGGGAAAACGACTTCAAAGTTTTTTGATTGAATTGATATAAATTTTCATGCTTCATTTTCTGAATCCCATCATAGCTAAGCCAATCATATTTGTATGTCAGTAACAATCTAAAGCAGAACAGTGAATCATCTAATGTCAGAGAACATAGAAAAAATCTGAAACTTTATAGCTTTGTTCTAACCTATTTTTTTTTTTCGATGTGGGAAATATTATACCAGTTATGTCTCGAGTATAAGAATCTGCTTTGCTCTGCAATTTGCCTTTCATCGCCGTGCGCTAAATATCCACTGTAACCACTGTACTGTGTCATTTCGGCTTGTGTTCTCATAGGTGTGGTTTCAAAACAGACGGGCAAAGTTTCGGCGTAATGAGCGGGCGATGCTGGCCAGTAAGAATGCTTCACTTCTCAAATCCTACTCGGGAGACGTAACAGCAGTGGAGCAGCCAATTGTCCCCCGTCCCGCACCCCGTCCAAATGACTACCTGTCCTGGGGGAGCGCAGCCCCGTACAGGTAACCCTCTGAATCCTTCTTATCTGAGCGCTTTGGTTTCATTTCATTTCCTCTCTGCATGTGTCTCCTGCTCTCCTGCCGTGACTTCATCTTCTCCAGTTGCCCATATTTTCTTCATCCAAACGTTTTAAATTAGATTTTTTTGTACAATTTTATTCTTAAGCTCGTCAAAATTTTGGTGGAATCGGAGGGCCATGTCGGCAAACAAGGAAAAAATGGCAATTCCTTGCTTTTCCCAGCAGCGTTCAGTACGTAAAATAGTGCAAAGTAGCACAATGACCGGCTAGCGAGTGGTTTTCCGCCTCTCTTTTTGGAAGCGATGGTGGGCCGATCCCCTGAAGATGAAGTGATAATCTGAAAACAAACCATATTAAATCCGCCTGTGACCCTCATGACCTTTGGGCCATAGGATACAAATTGACTTTCAGAGGAAGAAAAGTCCATTGGGCAGGATTTTTTGTGACTCTAGTTACACTATGGTTCTGATTTACAGTAATCTTCATTCTTAAAAGCTGTATAGAGTAACTAACCCTGCCACTCCGGCCAAATACCTTTTTCCCAGCAGCTGAAATGTGCAACTCAACCGGAAACTCTTTCTTGCATGGATAAGCATTTGACCCGCGACCATGCCAGTAAAACGAGCTTGCACAATTTCAACACACACCTGACGCATTATTGTGCACATAAAATGCAAACATATTAATGCAATATTTATGAAGATTTGTTAACTATTTATATATTCTTAAGCTGGTACCCAAGGCCGGAGGGAGGGCCAATGCGAGTGCCACAGAAAATGCTGCCCACAGAATGCAAGTACTTTTTTAAATTTCTATTTATGGTTTATCATTTCAATTGAAATCTTAAGCATTATCTTTGGGTTCACATGAAGAAGTACAGTACAATTTTTCCATTTTTATTTATTTAATTTTAAATTTGAGGCACATTTCTCATCAATTTCTAGTTAAAATTGTAATGCATTTAACATGTTAAAATTTTAATTGACTATCATTCTCATATCTTATTTTCAGCTCCATGGCAACCTACCCACCCACTTGTGCCAACACCACTTCCACACAGGGAATGAACATGGCCAACAGCATTGCTAACCTGAGACTGAAGGCCAAAGAGTACAGCCTCAACCAAGTGCCCACTGTCAACTAAGCCTGAAAAGAGGGACGGGATGAGGGGACAAAGAAAAGCAAGAGACGTTGAGAAGAGAAGAATTCAGAAGAGCTGGATGAGTTTGGCCTCCTGCAGTGTCAGAGCAGAATGGATATGACTTTTCACCCCCTCCTAAACCAATGGAATTGCATTGTTGTCCCTTACATTTGGCTTTTTTCTTCATCACAGATGAAGGTACGTTTCTGAGAAACTCAATCTCATTTTGTACTGACCCGAAGATTGTAAAGACAACGCAAGGTCTGCTCTTTGGAGAACAAGTTGACGAGCAGGGCTCCGCTAAATCAGTAAGAAGTGGCAGACGGAGCGTCTGGATGCTGCAAGCTGTTCTTTGCTTGTTTGTTTTTGGCTGTATTTTGGGTCGACCGGATGGAAAGTAAAGACACTTTCATGGCAAACAATGGAGGACTGTTGTTCACCATTCGCCGCTGAATGGTTTAAATTACACCAGAAGTTTAATGCTGAGATTTGGCAAAATAGTGACCCAAAATGTCTCCATGTCTACATCCAGTAGAATAAAGAGACATTTGTGGAGTTTAATCAGTAGACATGAGATGTTTAAAACCATCAATGCTAACGGAAGCTCTGGGGCTGGATTACATCTTTTAATGTCTTGAATATTACACCACTGTTTAAGGTAAATACTGTTCCCCATGGTGACCTATGTATCTGCTCACAGTACACTAACAAAATTATGTTTCAGTTTTTCTGGAGGTGATTTTTATCAATCATATTTTTTCTTCTTATATTTGGAAACCATATAGTAATAAAACATTTTCAAGCAATAAATCTTATACTATTGTGTTGAATCCTTCGGTTGAAGAGACATGACCTTTTTGCTGTTTTTGCTAAATGCTGACATTTGAGAAACTGTTGCAGGCAACAGTGTAAATTACCTTAAAAAAATATATCTGCATGTAATATTTCTTGCTTTATGTTAGTCAAAACACCAACACTACAAAATAAATAATCCAAAATTAATTTTGTTTCATATTATAGATTTGGATGGTTGTCCATGTTCTTTAATATTGGGTCTGATACTATGTGAGAGGATAATGTGTTTTTGGATTTTACCTGTTTGAACTTTTGGCAGGTAAAATTTTTCCGTGGAATGCACTAAGCAACAAATTCAGTTCAATATCATTTTTGAGCATTGTGCAATACTATGCAATGTACAAAGCGGAGCTATGTATTACTTGTTGTGCTAATCCTGCCTGAACTCCTGAAATCTCAGGACTTTTTGTTTTAGCAAATGCTGATTTCTCATGTACAGAGAAAGAAAATCTCCCACTTTTTAGAGCATTTCAAATCAAATTGAAATACTGTTTTTTTTGCAGCAGCAGCATGTGAAGATTAGGCACAATAAACACCCCCAAATGTTTCAAATGATTATTTTCATTTTAAATTAAGTTAAATCATTTTTTAACAGAAGCTCATTTCATTCAGTGTCATGGTGTATTATATTATTTTATTATACGTATATATATATATAACATCTGTACTGAATGGGTTACTAGATTAAGTACAGATTAGATTCTAGATCTGATATTAATTTGCTGGGTGTGTAATGTGATGAACTTTTTGAGCATGAATTTCAGTTTTGTTGTTTACTCACAGATCATTGCAATGTCTTTAACCCAGAATCTTTTAGACTCAATATTTGTTTACATGAGTAGATTTGTACGATGTGATCACTTTGGGGAAATTTAGAGCATTTCAGTTTTATGTCCTGTATTATACGAATAGACAGCCACCCACAAGCATGTTTGTCACACAGTGTGGTGGAAAGTGAATTCAGGTTTCCCCTTTATTTCTATGAGGAAAACAAAGAAAAATTTCCATTTATATGAGGTATTTATATAGAAGAAGCCCCAAATTTTTTTTTTTTGCATTTCAAATAAAGCAACAAAAAAAAAATCCAAAACTGTATTTTTCAAACACCAAACCAATTGAATAAAAGAAAACTGTGTTGATGAATACAAGCTAATCAGTGATGAAAAATAAGAGATGCTTGCACAATCCCTAAAAACGTGCATGTCAGCACCCTCAAAACGTGCATGTCTGCACCCTGCCCTATTTTGCAATTTAATTACAACTAAAATAAGTTAATTTAGTATGATGGGATTTTTTTTTTAATAAACCAAGAATGCAATATATATGATGTACTCATATAATGATCATCATTCATTGTTCTAACAGTTAAAATATAATGTATGTGAGTGTGGCAAAACCTGAAATGGCAAAAAGTGATTTTGTGACATATTCTTTATATCTCTATGTTATTTACTTATTTATTAATCACCTGGTGATGTCACATATTGAAACTCGCAATTGCTATTCAATATAGTCAAACCCAGTTTCGCAATGAGCAAGACTGCAAGTTAGAAGCGCTAGAAATTCTGGGAAATTCACTAAGTCAAAGACAGGGAATGGGGTTGTTATTATTTCCCATCATTATTGCTGGCCCAACCTATTGAAAATGCTTTCTGAGGTCCGTGTTTACACCCACGGGCGTTGATTAGTGACATGACTCATGTGTATATGTGTGTGTGTGTATGCAAGTGCCTTGTTCTCCGCCCAGACTATTGCATACTCTCCATGCTGTGGTGCTCAGGTCAGGTCGAAGCATCTCACCTTTCAGGCAGCCAGGCCCTGCTGACCTGAAGTGCTTCCAGATGTGTGTAGGCTGTGACCCGCTCGCCCCACCACCTCAGGCCTGGGGCCCAGGCCCCCTCCATCAGGGCTGACAGCATCCCCCTCGGATGGGTGTACGCGCAGCCGCCCGAGCAGATGACATACAAACACCTCACCCCCTCAGCACCACATCTGGAGCCTATTACAGAGGAGACAGTCAAAGTGAGCATGAGGGGGAAGAGTCTGAACAATCGTGTGTGAGGAATATATGCATGATAAGGTGGAGATGTTTGGAGTATATTTGAGTGTGTATGAGTCTACTTATTTCCTGTGACCTTTTTCGTCTCTTGAATCTCCCTTCTTGTCTTTTTTCCTTTGCTCCATAACAAATCTACCGCCTTCAATGTGAGCCCTCTGGCTGTTGGCTAAGGCGCTGAGAACATTTGGCCACAGCCAGTTTATTAATGTGAGCTTGGATTTGGGTTTGCACAAAACTAAGTTACTTGTCTTTTGTAAAATACAGTCCAGCTGTTTACAGTGTGCGGTAGAAGCGAATGTCAAGGCGGCATTGTGTGCTGCTGACATACAGTACTCTGACGCTGAATGGAGTTGAATGAAATGTGTTTCTGCCGTGCAGAGTTCACTGACCACAATCCACCTGCTGGGTTCAGCTACAGAGGAACATACAATCATCTTTATGACAAAAACATAGCACTTTTGCCTTTCAGATGGATTGATTGGCATTTTAAATGTATGTTTAATGTGCAAGTCTTGGTGAAATTCCCTTGTGTCGTTTTACTTGCTTTGAGTGTTAACATTGCACTATAAAAATTAGGTGTTCGTACTTCGTAGAGCTTTAAAAAGTAAGTTTTAAAATTATATTAAATTAAAGTTTTAATTTACTTATTTTAAGTAAATACTGAATGAACTTTAAATTTCAAGTTGCCATGATTTAAAATCTGGAACATTGTTTTTCACCTTGTGTTACCGGAGATGAGAGATTTATTTAACTTGCAGTTTACATCGGTGTTAAAAAATTTTCACGGAATTTTTTCCATTCAAATATGCTGCCTTCGCGTGCTATCAGAATTATCGTAAATTTATCGAGTTCCCTTGCTCGAGGATAGTGTTGAAACCCAAGTTCCCGGGGAAACTTTAACATTTCTAACTTACATGAAATTTAAACATGGCGGAAGAGAACGATTGTTGCTGTGTCTGGTATTGGTATTCCCAGCTACATCGCCTTCTTGTCGTTAAAGTAGTGCATGTTTACTTATATGAATATCCATTTGAAGCGTAGGCCTATTGTATGTTTTATACACAGCGAAAATATCATGTGTTTGCCCGAAATTCCAGAAGACGATCTAGATAGCGGTTGCCATTGAATGGGACGCTAAAATATTTTTCCCAATAAATACAAACCTTCTGGTCTCATTGTTTCCATTTTTCCGACAACAACAGAGCCCCCTAACGACAGAATAGGATAAACGCGCGCTCCTGTCTTGCATTAGCGTAATTCGTGTTTTAAATTATTTTACGTAAATAATATTATTTTGGAAATATGTGATACCAAAGTGAAATAACTGTTATTTAACTAAAAGTAATTGTGTTATATATGATTAGACGATTTTTAGAATGTAGCCTATAGGCTAGCACACTTCATTAATAATTAACGTGACAAACAATGGCCAAACATGTATTGTGCCCCAGTGCATGTTGGGAAAAAGACCAACAATACTGAATTAAAAAAAAAATGCATTTTTCAACTCACCTGATGCTTGCTGGTGTGAATTAAACATATGAGTAGGCTATGTTGTAAGTAAAATAAAAGCATCAAGAGGTAGCCTATTAACTGTGTTAAATAATTATGTTTTAATAATGTTCTTGTTATATTTTCAGCATTATTTGATTGATCTAAGAATAAAAAAAAAACATTTTTTAACATTACTGACACTCTGTTCTAGTGTTTTTTTGTTTTTTGTTTTTTTTACCTTGACCTCACGCAAACTTGCTGAAATCAGAGAGAGTGACTCCCCCGTGGCAGCTTTCTAATTTGCTGCGCTTTTACTGTGTCTGTAATTACAGGTTGTCTCTACAATTTCAAAGGATGCTAATTGTTATACACACTAGATTTGGGGGATGTTAACTGGCTGTTTGGACATCTCAGGCTTGGATGAATATGTATTTTCATTTCTATCTCTTAAACAAACCACCAGCGCGCACAAGTCTGGTGGCTGATGTGACATCTGTCTTCATCATCATCACCATATAATCAACTTCAGCTTCCCCCGGCACGAAAAGTCACATCTATTCCCTCAACAGCTGAACAATTTAAAATATGTACTGTTAAAAGGCTTTTATTTATAAATGGGGCAATGGAGAAGTGGATTGGGGTTTGGGTTTACATGGCTCAGAGCAAAACACATGTGAGCCCTGGCCTAGCCTGGTGACAGCTTTCAACTCTCTCTGTTCTGGAGTGAGGAACGGAGAAGAAATGCAGACCAAAACATCTTTCCCTCTTGCCAAATTACTTCAGAGCAAAAATCTCTCTTTCCTTCTGTGTGGCTTGGCATTGCATTTAATTTTTTTTTTTTAAACCTAATGGAATACAGTTAACCATTTAGTTGACCTTGAAGGGGTCAATGAACAGCAGGCCTACCGTAAAATGCATGTGATTAGAAATTAAAGGTAGGGTAGGCCATTTTTTTTAATAAACACTTTTTGTTATACTGGTTGAAACACTCTTCACATCCTGATAGCAATCAATAATAGAAGTGGTCTAAATATTAAAACATGTACATATCTTCCGTGGAAGTCTCAGGACCAAACAATGTTCGTCCAATCATTGCATTCAGTCCGAATGATACACTGTCCTCCTGCCTGCCTGTCAACATTTGTATTTCCATCCCTCTGCGCACCCTGCTCGCACATACATCAGCATGTAAGGCTATACAGAGTTGTAGACAGACAGTCACCCGAGTGCCAAAAACAAACAACAGCTGTCTTTTACAGTTCCACCTGAACCAAAACAATGAGTTTATGCTGCGTTCATGGCATGTCATAACCGTAATTACGAGATGGCAACCCGTGACGTTCTACCCAAGGCTGTTCACGTCCTCAGACCCAGATTTATGCATTTCTATGTCAACACTATCAATGGCGAAATGAATCAGCAACAGTCAGGTGGTGCATCTAGAGCTCTGTTTACGTTCATTATTATTGTAATGTTATGTGCTTTGAGACATGATATTTATCGCTTTGCAGACTCTGCTGTGTACGTTGATATGTTCTGAAGGAGGTGTGGCTTTGGAGACGCTCTACGGGAGGGTGGCATCTTATGCTTTCAA